AAACGTCACAGACTAGACAACAATGGTGGAAAATATGAGCGCAAGTTTCAAAGTTCCATCAACATTTTGCAGCCAGAATAACGGATGGTGTCAAGTAGATTCTTCAAGGCGGATCTTTCTCGTGACTCGAAAAGGAATCGTTTTTCGCTTAGAAACAGACGAGGGAGCCAATCAGAAAACAAATTAGAGAACGGAGATTGATATAATCCCCGATCTTCAAGGACAGAAGGACTTCTTCCGTAAACTGTGCTACTGAGTACTTGCACTCCAAAAAGTCCGAAGCGAAAACTCTCTGTGTGTCGACGCACAGAAGACGAAGAGTCCGCACTAGTGTCCATCGAGAGAGCCGTGCCGCCGACGCCTATCGACAAGTCTCCTTATCTGCCGCAGCCCCAGGGCTCATCTCCGAGTGACGAGAGATAAACATCCACGACGTCCAAACAGTCGACTGTATCTAGATAATTCTTGTTCCTAGGTGTAAGTTTAATTTTATGTTTAAAATAAACGGGTTTTTGTGAGATTCTTGTCATCTGTGTCTCCTCCACCACACCCACACGCGTTCGACCCTTGATCATTCTGACGCGGGATTAACGATTCCCCCCGGAAGTCGTTCGCCGACTTTCACTGGTGTCCGAGAGTGGGATAAAAAGTTTCCAATCTCCACCAGGTCAGCGAACTTACAAAAACCCCGAATATCAAGGTTAAAACGCAGTTTTCCTAAAAATTCTATGGCGATTAATCTGTGTCGTCTTCGTCTGGATTAAGCCTGAAGTCGTTCCCGCTAAAATTTGTGTTGTGTCTCGCGGACCGCTCCAGTCTTGCGGCTTTGTCACCTACCATCGCTTCTGTGACCAAGCGAACCCATCTCGTCCGCTCTGGGGCTACGACTGATCAGCTTGCACTATCGTAGGACCAGCGATACGCCACTCCTCAGTGCCGAGAGAAAACACTGTAGATAAGCCATTTCCAACTACCTCAAATATGTAAGCATCTTCCCGTTCTAATAAACGATTTTCACTNGTATGGAGAAACATTATGAGCGATGGATTGGTAAGAACATTTATTAGAGCGTTTAAAGATAGCGGTACTAATATCTATGACGAGGAGCGTAGTGGGCGACCGTCTGTCATTACTGAAGACTGTGCAGAAAGTTGTTGCAAAAGTTCGAGAAAACAGACGCTTTACGATTTCGTCATCCAAAACAAAAGGCATGGCAAGCTCATTAAGCGGATTGTTTTGCTTCATGACAGTGCCCGTCCACACGTGGGCTCAACGAACTCAAAATCTTATCACATCATATTGCTGGGAACAACTTGATCACCCTACGCATAGCCCTGATCTAGCTACTAGTGACCACCACTTGTTCCTCCACTTGAAAAAGGCATCTAGGCAGTCAGCGCTGTGACGACATTGTCAAAACGCCGTGCTGCGGTGGTTGGCAAATCAGGCAGTAGGTGCCTAGGAGGATGGAATTCACAAGTTGTACGATATGAAAAGCGCCTTCATATTGGAGGAAATTACGTTGAAAAGTAGATTAAAGTATAGGCTTTCAATAAGATAAAATTATTTTAAAAAATGCAGTTGCGTTTTTTAATATCAAAACGGTACTTACTTAATTTAAAAGACACGCCCCGTATTAATAATAAAAGTAGCATATAAAGAACATATCCATTGGGAGGGTTTTGATGCAGACAAAAATTTATATCATACCTGTGGAAAAAGTACACTTCAATACTCTGTATAGCCTCCTTTGTCCTTTAAAACCTTCCTAATGCGATCAAGCATATAATTAATAATATTCCTGTAATTGTGCAATGTAATTTTGTTCCACTCATCCGGTACACGTTCCCATAATTGGTGGACGCTTTCAGGCGGAGCTACATAGACAAACGACGTTTACGAAGGAACCAGATGTGTTCAAACGGATTGAAATCAGACGATTGAAGTGGCCACTGAAGCAGGCTAATATTTTTATCCTAAAGCCATTCCCTCTTGATATTGCCCTCCTGGAGGGTAATACCAATCCTGGATCATTATCTTTCTGATAAATGAAAGAGCTCCTACCAACGTGATAATAATCAACAGATTGTAACAAATAATTGTCAAGTATCTCAGTGTAAATAACGCTATTCATTGTATAAGGTATAGAACATAACATTTCAGACCCGAAATAGGTAACACAGCCCCACCCCATAAAACTACCCACCAAAATTCAATGTTGTTTGTACATCTCGCTCAGTTATAGACTTTATCGATGTAGTCCATACCTATTTTCGCTCATCTAAACTAACTATTCATTTTGGATTCATCTGACTATACAATCTTCTTCCAATCTAAGGTCCAGTCTTTATAGCGTTTGGCAAAATTAAGACATTTCTGTTTATGTAATTTGGAAAGTTTGGGCTCTTGCTTTCAAATTGTTACGTTTTAGGCATCTGCGGATAGTTGTACTCACTCCTATTCCTCTTTACTTGTGATGAAGTATCGCAACGTCCACTCGTTATCAGACGTTTCTGTTTTGGCACTAAATGATTTCTTCCTGCCAGCTCTTAAATTTTCGTGATATTGTAGCTCACTATGTTTTATTCTGAATGCACTCGAACGCTCAACACCAACTTATAATGCAGTTTTCTCAAAAGAAAAACCTTTCTTCTGCATGTCCACGATATGGAATTTCTTCTCATCGGAAAGCTTCACGATGACGCATATCAAGCAGCAGCATTTGCATATTTATACGTTAATATCGCGTTAATATGCATAAAATTACATTGTATAACATTGATGTTATAATAAATGAATTTATTCGTCAAAATCCTCCCAATGCAACAAATAGAAATTATACACCACATATATTTTAAAAATATGAAAATTATTTCAATTTTTTGCTATTATGTGAATATTGTAATAGTATTACAGCTGATTTATTTCCTTTTCCTTTTACTTTCGCATATCTAATAGTTTTTTGCTTCCAAAATTTGTAGTACGTACTGTACAAATTTTGGGAGGATTTTGACGCTTACTGTATACTAATAAAGTTCATTAGTAAATATTAAAATGAACAATAGCGAGGTTGCGGCCGAAGTTTTCAACGCGAAAACATGTACGTCGGACGTTCAGCGCCGCTTTCCTGTAAGCCTAGAAGTTTAACAATGGCGTTTGGAAAGTCAGTGGAATCATGCTCGACATTCCTAACGCTATTATCAAACTTCTAGGCTTACGGAAAGGCGGCGATGAACGTTCGACGTACACAATTTCGAGTTAAAAACTTCGGCCGCAAACTCTCTTATAATTGGGATTTTAAATGTATTATAACATTAATGTATTATAATTATTAAAATGTATTATAATACATTAATGGTATTATAATATTAACTAAGGAACTATAATTGGAATTTTAAATGTAATTATAACATTAACTATTAGGCTATCCACACCGTGTAGACCAACTAAGGATTATGGAGACCTTAGAAATTTATAAAGCGGGATTAAACAACACATGTATTAATTCCAAAGACGCAGTCAACATCTCTAGTGCATGGAAATTTTGCTATGAAGGAACAACCCATAATTGGGTGTAATATGGATTTATTACAAGCGCAAATTACGCAAGCTTTGACGTCATCGAAGCAAGAGCGTGGTGTTCTATATTTTTGATATTAACGTTGACGTTCTAGGATTTGAATCGCATTTATTCGGTTCCTGTTCGATTCTGTTTGAACTTATTAAAACAGTGGCCTGAAGAAGACCCTGGTAGGGTTGAAAACGTTTGCCAAGAAGAATAACACTGGAGATTGAAAGGTTTTTATTCAAGTGGAGAGAATTATTATAACATTTTATTCTTATAGGTGAGCGAAAAGTTGAATTTGAAAAAAGTTCCGTGTGCTTTTCAAATCAGATATGCAGGTTATAAAGGAATGCTTGTTGTCGATCCGATGTTGGGGGACAAAGGACTGAAGATTGTGTTTAGAAAAAGTATGAAAAAATTTGATAGTCCATCTAATCAACTTGAAATAGTGAAGAAAAGTCAACCCAGTAAGTACTTAAACTTATATGAAAATTATATTGTCTATAAATAAATTTAAACATTGTTTTTAAGCTCATAATCAAGTATCTTTCAATATATATATTTTTAATTATTCCACTGTTTTATTATGTGAATAGCTTAACTTATATCCATGAATAAATATTTGAAACCAGAAACTAACAATCTATTTTCAAATTTAAACATTTAATCTATCTTTACACTAAATACAATAGCTTGAAACTACAAATTAAAAAATATATTTATCTTATTTAGTTCTTGTACAACTAAATCGACCAATGATTAACATCCTAAATCAATTGGGTGTTCCTAATGAAGTATTTATAGAACTTCAGGAAGAAATGCTGTCAACCATAACAGATATTTTAACGGACGATGAAAAGGCTGCAGAATATCTCGTTTCTAAACTGACTTCAAAAACTACGGGTATAACAGGATTTAAAGAAATGGTAAATGCTGGAATCGGATTGACAGGCGATCCTTTCTTTCGTGAACTGTTATTATGTCTTCGTGAAAGAGCGATTTGTGAGTATTGAGTATTTATTATGTATTGTCTTTACCGTATTATTCACTGTACAATAGTTATGATTTTGTAAATGAATTAATAGATTAATAATTTTTATTATTATCACACCAATTTGTAACCACATTTATGCGATTTTACTTTTTATTTTCATTTTTGTCTATTATAAAAATTAATACAAACTAAAAATCTCATTTTGTTGAAATCCATTTTAGTTTTTTTTTATTATAACCCCTCTTCAGTTTTCAGTCTCCCATTGTGGGCTTGGCCGAAGCCATAGTAAGCTTGCTAAAAGAAGTTCTCTTAGTGCCCACAGGATGGAAAGTATTAAAAAAAAAAACTTAAACTTCGACGGTAATTCTTATTAATATGTAGTATGCTTCTTATATTTATTTTGGTGTTGTTTAACCTAAATTATAAATGTTTAAAATTATGATTGTTCTGCAATTTGAAAAAATTGCAGAACAATGCCAATTGCTAATTCCCAATTGCAAATTTTTGGTCTGCAATGCAGACCAAAAATTCCCATTGGCATTCGTCTGTCTGTCCTTTCTTAATCTCGAAAACGAAGATAGATATGCGAAAGTCGAGACCAGATATGGAAAGCTTAGGTAAAAGAGGTTCCGATTAATAATATACAGTAGAGCGTCGATTATCCGAACCAATTGGGGACTGCGGTTGTTCGGGAGGAAAAACGATATTTCGGATAACCGATTAAGCACAAAAAAATATATTAACCTATCTCATGTTGAAATTTTTCTCCGTTGCGTGTCGCTTCGCGTTGAATTTTCGTCGATGTTAAGCCTAACGTAAACCTTTTAAAATAATAATCGTGACTATTGTATCCTTAAAAATTATTTATTTATTTTGTACAAACAAAATAAATATATTGAAAAATATAAAAACAATAAAAAATTATACTTCAGAAGTTAATTTAGTATCAAAAACGTAAAATATTTGAGAAGCCCAAGACATAGCCAAAGATTGCAGCGCCACAGCACTGGCAAAAATTTAAATTTGCCGACTGGAATTCTTTCGGATAATCGGCGCTCTACTGTACTAACTTCCAGCTTGGAGAGAATTCACGTTATTTCGATTAAAAAATTTTCTCCACAGCGGAATTAGATGACCGGCATGACTCTTCTGTTATCAGGAAAACTATATACTTTATATAGTACAGGGGCAACTCACTACTAAAATGGAAGACCTATATTTTAAATTACACGAGCAATTATTTATTGCGACATCATTACAGTGTTGGGTTACACTTTATAATTTAATTAATTTATAAATATAGGCTCACCACTTTAGTAGTGCGTTGCCCCTGTACATCATATTTGTCCTGCTAACAGTAAAGTCGTGCCAGTGATCTAATTCCATTGTAGAGAAAATGTTTGAATTGAAATCACGTATCTTTCGATCTAGACTGGAAGTTCCTATATAGTTAGTTGAGGCCTCCTATCTCTAAGNAGTAGTGCGTTGCCCCTGTACATCATATTTGTCCTGCTAACAGTAAAGTCGTGCCAGTGATCTAATTCCATTGTAGAGAAAATGTTTGAATTGAAATCACGTATCTTTCGATCTAGACTGGAAGTTCCTATATAGTTAGTTGAGGCCTCCTATCTCTAAGATTTCCATATCTGGTCTCTATTTTCATCTATCTAACTCCGTTATCGAAATTAAGGAAGGACAGATAGTCAGATAGATGCCAGTGAGAATTTATAGGCCTGCACTTTGAAACGAAATTTCATCTAGCATTGTGACGATATCACAATAAATAATTGCTCGTCATATTTTATATTTTTCAGTAATTAATTTAAATCAATTTTGAATTACATATATTGTAAAGTTTTTGATATTTATTAATATATTTTTTTCCTTACTTATTTAAGTTTATTTTCTTTTTGTTGATTTTTTCATATTTAATTTACAAATTGATAATAATTACTATTTATCTTTACATTTTGAATTATTATTATTGAGTTTACAATATTTTATGTCGAAATTTCACTGTAATATCGTTACGGTGAAATTTCGACATAAAATATTGCGTGTATATGTTCTTTAATTCAGTATTCTTTTTGTTTTTCCTATATCAAATTTTTGTCGTGGACAGCTGTATTAAAATTTATACACTACATTTTTGTTTATCATTATTATCCTGTAGTATTTGTTTATGAATTGTATTATTCTGTTCGGGTGCTAATTGTATATTGCAATTTTTAAATATTTATTTATTTATTCGTTTTTAATTTCTGGAATTCCTTTATTTTTAATATTTGACTGACAATTACCAGATTTCAGTTAGTATTCTTTTAGGATAGCCGTTTAGTAGAAACATTTACAGTGGAACCCCGGTTAACGAACGTAATCCGTTCCACGAGTCCGTTCGTTAACCGAATTGTTCGTTAACCGAAGCAATTTTTCCCATAGAAATTAATGCAAATACAATTAATCCGTTCTAGCCGTCAGTATTTTTGTAATTTTATTTGTAAAATTTATAAAGACTTTAAAA